GAGAGATACAAAATAAGGAAAACATTGAGCTTTTTATTATATTGTGTTATCTCATAAAATCCTGAGTTTCATAGGCTAACATTTGGGATGAGAACAGATTTTAGATTTGCTTAACAAGAGATTAATTCCAATTTGGGGATAAGAGAATATTGTTTCTTGAAAACATATCTTCAAGGATGTTGTTAGTCATCTTGTTAATTCACCATAACGGCCAACAAAAATTTGGGGGTCTTTCATATCTGATGTTAACTACTCGTGCTCCTCTTAGCTTGTAATCTTTATCCACACCTCAGGGTGTGATTGTATCAAAGGTACACTACTGAATTCAAGGAGATAATACACCCAAACTACTGCCTGACCTGGTTTTAGAAGGTCACTGAGGACATCCTTTTGCATGAGGTGATTAAGTGCAGCTTGAGGATGATATCCTAGAATGCAGAATGAATACACTGCTCGCAGCAAGGATGCATTATAAATCCCAGGGAGGTATGTACTCAAGGAGCAACTGAGGGCCTCAAAGAACCTTCAAAAAAGAAGGGGGGGAAGGGGAGAAAGACATCTTTATATACAAATTTATGAATAAATGAACTCAATATTATTAATAAAATCTATATTTCAGATAACATCCCCAAACAGGGTTCCTATCTAGCTCATATAACTAGAACCCAAGTCCAGCACACAAATTTGAAGCCTATAAGGCAGTGCTTAAGACCATCAGTGGTCAAACTCACAGCTCTCAAGTTGCATGAAGATCCCAGAGAGTTTAAATAAAGCTCCAGAAAAAAGCAAAGTAGTTAAATAAAAATGTTCATTTTCATTGTTTCATTTATTATTGTGTGTGAACAGCACCATTTCAGGTTGCTGTTCACACACAATTCCTTTCCATGCCCCTGCTCCCATCACTCAACTACATATCATGATCTGAACTGGGGCATTGGTCATAGATTGTTGACTCTGAAGCATATAGGCATATGTGTGCATGTGTGTACATGTGCGTGCACTCCCCCCCCAAAGTTGTATGTCCTGGGCCTCTCAGCCATGTCAAAGTTCTGGTTGTGGATAGAAGGGATAGTAGGTTTGGCCACCCCTGACCACAAGACCTCACAGCTACCACTAATCTGTTTGCTAGTTTGTCAGTCTAGAACTAAAGTGACAGAGCCCCTTTCTTATTACATTATCTTGCTATTTGGAAAATATCTATTAAAATAACACCAACAAGCACAGCAAACTTATTTCAGAAATTACTGTGTTTACAGGAATCTAAGATGGTTCTGAATTTAAGATGACCCTTTAATAATTAGATTCTATACATGGAAAATTCATAAATATAATAATTTTCCATGTATAGAATCTAATTATTGGATGATCATCTTAAAATTCATCCCACACAGCCTCTGCCCATCCTGCTCACTCCCCGGAGCTGCAGTTGGAGCAGACACGTGCTCTGTGCTTCAGGCTGGACCAAGGATGAAGCCTGTGATGCTGGAGAAAGGGTAAGGGGTGGAGGTGGGACAGCCAGGAGGTAGGCAGCAGCTGCAGCCTCAACTCAGTCAGAGCCAGAGCCACAGTAGCTGTCTGTCCTGCACCACCTTGCATTTAATTCCAAAACACGGGACTTTTATTCCCCCCACTTCCTTTCCCCCTTGTTATATGCGGAGAATAAAGTCTCATTTTGGAAAAGAGTAAATACAATAGTAAAATGGACTACATAAGAATGATAGCACAACAGAAATCTTGTATTGGTGGCAAGCAGCATTTCAGGTTGCTGTTCACATACAATTCCCTTCCATGCCCCTAATACCATCAATTACAAAGCACATCATAAAACTTTCTATACCAAAACCTACTGTTGATCCTGGCATTTGGGAACATAGTTGAGATGTGAATACACCCGAAAAATTATCATAAGCTCCTTCAAATTCAGGGATTCAGGATACTTTATCACATTCTCAGCCACAATATCCATCAATTTAGTGGGTCGAAAGCGAAGAATTTCAAAGGCAGACAGAAACAGAATAAGCTAAAACAAAACAAAAACGAGAAAAAAGGTTATTAAAAACAGGAAGAACTGCAATATGGCAACTCAATCTGCTGGTATCATAGAATTAGAGAGATGTTTATTGGGAAAACAAAACTTTTTAAAAGGTTAATAGCTATATTATCCTGAGCCTAACTTATCTATTACCATACTGCAACAAACAAAAGAGTGGTGGGCTGCTATATTTAACTCCTAATTAAACACTATTACTAAAACATTAAGACTAGTTATTATATCAATGTTATTAAAGATTCACCCTCTACCAATTTGGGTAGCTACACAACACTGCAAACATCAAAAAAAAGTTACAAATTAACATGCTTTAGACGCAAAACAAATGTCGATGTTATTCCTTTTAAACATTTAAGAAATTAAAACTAAGTTATTATTTTATGTCTTTTAAACTTTCACACCAAAAATCTGCCTATAAGTAGAACAAAACTGGAAGTTATAACCCACTGCAATCCCAAATCAGAACACAAACTTAACTACAAGTTATAATTAGGAATTCCATGAACCAGGGAATGCACACTTCCTTCTAATACCAGCCCCGTTTGATACCACTTTAAGTCTTGTGGTCATATCCTCACCTGTTCAATGCTCCACATATTGATGAATGAAGTCACATAGCTTTCTATGGCTGAAAACATTTCTACATTTTTGTAGTGGAGAATACAGCAAGCGAGCAGAATACGGTTTAACTGCTTAAATTGAGTACCATGGATAGTCGCTGCAAATAGAACAAAAAGAACAGATAGCATACAGACTGGAAATGTAGGATGACATTACTGGCACTCGAAGAATGAGAATTGAAACTTGAGTGGAAAAAAAAAAATCAGATGTGGAACTGAAGAATAGAGGGGCTAGGCAAGATGTTGAGGAAAGGAAACATGAAGAGTGCAGATACGCTGAGCAAGTGAGGATAGCAGCACTGGATCAAGGGCCTGGGAAGACTAGGAGACATGACCAGACCAATAACATGTTGGAGGGGTCTGGGCAGATGGGTTCAACCTAGGCAAAAATGAGAAGTACCAGTACCCACTCAAGCACACTCACCACCCTTGCAGTAAGAAAATATCTGTGAAATGGTAAAGTATCTTATTCCCCTTGTGACAGGGGACCATCTCAGGACCAAATCTCACCTTTGAACTGCCCACCTGTCTGGGGGCAGTCTGTCCTGTCTCACCTGCCACGACTTGATGAATAAATAATGGATGTAAAATACAGGAGGCTCCCCATTTTATGCCCTGATGCCTAGGGCATTATACATAGCTCCAACCTCCCCTATACCATGCCTCACAGATGGCATCCTAAGTTGGTAATAGCTCCGGTTCGTGGCTCAAAGTCTGCCCCTTGTTGGGCCTCTAGCATTCTTCCCTAATACCCTGCCTTTCACAGGGCCTCAAACACACTGCCTGCTTCTGGGCCTCATTCATATTGCCCCCCTCACTGGACCACTCTCAACCCGCCCTATTCCACAGCCTCTTTGGGCCCCCGTGGACCCTACTCTACACGGCCCTTCAGGCTTTACAACTCAAACTCCAGCCAGTCCACATGCAGCCCTTCAGGCTTCCCTCACACAGACCCTTCTTCTACATGACCGCCGCTGGCCTTATGCCTCACACTGGGCTGAACTCAGCCTCTAGACCCCCTGTGGGCCGCTCCTTTAAGTTCACACTCTTATGGGGGCTGGCCCATGTGCTGCCCTTCAGGCATCCCCTGCAACCCTACTCTACACACTTCATCCACAGTCCTTCAGGCCACCACTGTGCACCCTACTCTGTGCGGGCCTCCACACATACTTCCGCCCTCTCGCTGCTCTATCTCTGCCCCCTCTCTCAGATCTCTGGGGTCTTACACCCAACGGGACTCAGATGTCCGTAGACATGCCTGGCCCTACATCTGGGTAACCCACCAGGATGTTGGGGCTGAAGCTTTAAGGTGCCCCATACTTGCCTTTCACTGGGGAAGCAACTGGCCTGGCATTTCCTGGGGACCAACCCACCACGGGCAGATCCAGTAGACGATCCTACCCCAGCAGGGTGTAGTTTTCGGTCATTCCCCAGGACCAGGAGCCTCCTGCCATTCCCACAGCTCCTGCCCTGTACCTCCAAGGTGTTGTGAGTAGCAGCTCTAACTGGGTGGTTATCAGCTGTTCTTCCAGCTGCTTGCAGCAACTGCTGCCTCAGCCCTGAGGGCCAGGGTTTAAAATGGAGACTGCTCAGCCCCCTCCTCCTATCCCAGGGCCTTCTTGCAGTCATGCGACCGACTCATCAGAGCTAGCCCACATCTGCCAGCTGCCCTGCTGCCTGCTCTAAGCCCTTAAAGTGGCAGGCACCAAAAATGCTCTGCCACGCACCTCTAGAGTTAGTCTATAGACAGGATTACAGCCTTTCACAGTGTACTCGATTTGTATGCATACTCGGGACCAGTCACTTGCATAGCACACTGCCAGTCTCCCAGTTAACTTGTTGCCTACTGCTTGCTTTGCAGTGAGCAAAGAGAAGCCCTTGAACTATTAAAAACCCTGGAAATGAAGAGGGCAAGTCAGTTTTAAGATTGCTACAGCCACAGCACTGCCAGTGCTGAGTACTTAATGAACACTGCTTACCTCAAACTCAGGTAAGTAAATACACACTCTCTATTCAGTCCAAAGGCTACTCACTTATACAGAGTACACTGTTCTTCGGTCCGTTATTCTGTTCACTGCTGTGCCAGATGTCTGTGGAAAGGATCTAAAAGGTTGCAACCCTGCTAATGACTAATGCAGAGATCAATGTGATACAACACAATGGGTTTTCTGATTTTTCAGCTTGATTTTTCCTTTAAAAAGTTAGTAAGCTTCTTTTACATACACACAAAAAACCCTACTTTAAAAGAACATTATGTTTACAAAGTCAAATGTTCAAAATTTAGGAAACGTCAAAATTAAGGTTGCTGCATTATCTTCAACTAACCCCCTTGCAAGTATGTATTATAATACAGCTTTTATTAACATGATCACAGACCATTCCCCCAAAGGACTGCTGCCTCATTCAGTGAACAGGGATGAGTATGCTCTCAGGATGAAACCAGGTCACGCTGAGAAGGCAGCTGTTGTCTGTAAGCCCTGCCTTATTTGTTGCAACAACTGGAAGGTACATATTGAAAAAGTGGTGGCTGGAGAATGAGAAAGAACAACTGCATGGTTAAGACAGTAGGAATGCTGTCCTGCACGAGCCACCTTAGGTCCTAGGCGGTGCTGAGTAAATCAATTTGACCAAACTCCATTACATAGACACTAATCATGTTTCTCTTTTCCTAGGTGCCCAACTTGAGAGCCTGGGGTCTGCTTTACAGAAGTACCGAGTGTTTATGAACAGACTATACTATTCTATTTGTAAGTCAACACTCTATAAAAGCAGAACCCACAGTTTCAGGTTCAATTTTAGGAAAAACAGCTTTTCTTCTGGATGTAAACTGCTACATACCCAAAAGGACCTTGAATGCCTACTGCCCTTATAAAAATCACACTGTAGAACCCAACAGCCAAGAACACAACCCAACGGATTACATATAAGGATCATAAAAAAACAGCTCCCAAAACATTCTGACTTTATATATTTATTTTCTGCATAAAAATACTACAGGTATAAATGTCAAGATTATGGGACAGCCTGATTACAGGTTGAGTCTATGTATAACTGTGCTATTTATGATTCTTTGGAAGGAAAAAGAAAAGGTAAATTTATATCAGGAAAACAAAAGCAAAGTCAATGGACTTAGCACATACAAAAGAGCTATACAATGATTTATATTAAAAAAAAAAGGGGGGGAGGAAATCAAAAGGCAAACATCTCAGAATTCGAATTCTTGTTACCCATTTCTCAGTTTCACATAATTAAAATGCAAATAATACCATCAGCTCACCTAACAGATGATGTGAGACTGATTCAGTGAATGTTTCTGAGCATGTTTCAATACAACAGTAGGAAGCATCTTTGAAAAACATCAAGTAGAAACTAAGAATTCTGCCCATAGAGGACACCTGAACAGCGTACAGTAAATAAGGCATGGGACTACAGAAAGAACAATGAGGAAAAAAATGCTGAATAGCAGTGCTGTAGCCATAATGGTCTAGTACTGGACTGTCCAACTGGCAGCCTACAGGCTGCATGCAGCCCACAAATGGTTAAGCTGAGGTCCACTCAGTCCTGCCCAGCCACAACTCCCCCCAACTGCTCTGGCTGCAACAGCAGCCAGGGTCTCTAGACTACCTCTGTCCTCTAGCTTTTACATTCTACATCTGCCCCAAGGGGCAGCACAGTGTGGCAAGGCACAAAGTACTCAGGATAAAACTGAAGCCCTACAGCATATGATGCATCAAGAGGGATGGTAGCCCATGTGGGTGCATGCTGCAGCAATGCTGAGGTGCGAGTAGGGAAGCATCCACGTGGGGTTGTTGCACCAGTGGGTGCTGTAATGTGTCCACAGGTGCAGCCCCCAGGCCAATGCAGAGAGAAGCATCCATACAGGGCTGCAGTTGCATTCCAGCCTGTAGGGTCATTCCAACAGTGAGGCCTGAGCAAATGCTCCTCTCCGCAGTGGCATAAGGACCTGCACCTACTGACCCAGGGCCTGAAACCACCAACAGGGGGTCCCTGTGGGCTGGGGTCTTGGCCTGCTGGGTGTTGTGTGTCCACATGGGGTCACTGCAGTAGTGGGGACCATGCAACTCATGGGCCAGTAAGCACAGCCCCCAGGCCAGTGTTGGTTGGACAGGGAGGAGAGCAGGAAAACATCCATCCATTTCAGTGTTGGGGGCTGTGCAGTCCTCAGGCTGATGGGTACAGTGGGGAGCAGCCATGCAGGGTCATTGCAGCAGTGGGGATCAGATGAGTCTCAGGCTGGTGTGAGGGGCAACATCCATGTAGGGCTGTTACAGCAATGGGCACCATGTAGCTCCCAGGCTAGTGGAAACAGCCCATGAATCAGTCGAGACTATTCACAAGAGATGCCTTTTCATGGCATTAAAAGGGGCAGAGATCACAAGAATTACTTTCTTTTGTAATACACCCACCTAGGGCTCCTTGTCAGATGGAACTGCACTGCTACGATAACATTATCTAAAACAATGATGTTTCTTGAATTTTAAAAGGAATAGGAAAAAAGGAAACACAGCACTCTCATCAGGAAGGGCTTGTGCAGAAGAACTGTAAAGTTTTACTCACCAACCATTTTCTTACTGCAGCTATCTAGGATTGGAATAGATGTGTAATTCACCACAGCCAGTGTGTTAAACATACATCGAGCATTTTCTGAAGTCAAACAATGCAACTTTTCCAAAACGTTATTCTAAAATGAAATAAATGTCATTATACTTATTATCTACAGACTGAGGCAATCCAAGTTTTCACTGACTTAAGACAAAGTGAGTAGGGAGATCAAATTATGCCAAATCCTCTATCTTTACCAGATAGGGGGAACTTAAACACTTCTTCTATTTAAAAAAAAAATCACAATTTATCACAAACACAGTATGAGCTGTCCATGATCAACTCCTCAAGCTGCTGCAGTTTCTTTCTTGAATTAACTAGGTAAAATGACTGCATAATTTTTGTTTGCCAACCAGAATGGCAAATCATTGCTGGTGTATTTACTGCTATTGCAGTCTTGCCTATGTGCAAGATTTCTAAGCCCACTGTTCCCCCTTGCACTATCCCTCGACACAATACACCCAATTAAGCCAGTGAAATAAAAGCTAATGGGCTCAAGCTTAAAGACACTTAAATGCGAGTAAAACAGGAATAACTGCATACAGATGGACAGTTATACTGATGCAACTGTCCCTGCAAATCAAGCCCACTAACTTTAGCATCACCAGATGTTAAATAGAATGTAATTCAGTATATTTGCACATCACATGTCATACAAAGCAACGAAGGAAAAGATCAATAAGAGAACATATGTCAAAATACAGTTCAAATACCTTTGACCAATACCAGGTGCCTTCACTGGACTCAGAGAATATTACAAGAACTCCATTATGTTGGAAACAAACAGATCTGTTCCTTGCCTCTTAATACTATCTTCTCTAAATTTCAGTCCCTCTTACAGAAACACTTCTTTTTGGACCCTGACAGCAAATAGTGCTGGTGTATGTTCACTAAAAAAAAGTTTCGCTATAGTCAACCTACTGTCTACATTCTGACCTGTCCTTATAGTAGGAGCAGTCACCATTCATTCTCTACAGCTGCAAAATGCTACACGGTTGTTACCACACCCAACCAACAAATAGCCATGCCATAGCACTAGCTAGATGGGAGTCACAGAAGTCCCAACCAAGAACAATTGTCATCTTTTACCTCAAATGCCTTTTTGAGAAACCCTGGGGCATCTTTTCCAAAATGCTTCATTATGGTTTGCAAAAGATCAATGTTCCTGATCTCTGGAATCCGTTGCTCCATCACCATCCTGATAAAAGGAAATAGAATTTATTAAATGAAGCCTGAATCAGAACCAGAGCAAGCACACACCCTTACATTTGCCTCTACTTGATACAGGTATAATTCACCCTTTCTCCAGTCTTCCTGTTAAACTGGTACAGCTATACACTGGTCCAACAGCAGTGTGGATGTCTACCTATACTAATGCAATTACTCCGGGACAAGAAATCTCCCAATGATATCCTACAATGTGCTGCCCTGTGAAAAACTCTCCCCCACCTTTTCTAAACTTCATTGCTCAGTCAGTGATTATTACTTATATACTCCAATATATTCCATTAGTAAATAATCCCAAAAAAAACACTAAAAACTTATTCAGAAAAATAATGCTACTCAGTCTCCTTTCAAGCCATACTTATATTCCACAGAAGCAAACATTCATGTTACATGACTGTAAGTAAAAAAAATATTAAAGATGCATTTTTTTCTTACTGTAATTCCAACTGAAGGGCATCTATATTCTTGCTTTTTTTCATGCTTTTTATGGTAAACATCAGAATCGAAAGACACTTGTCATTAAGTTCATTGAGATGCTCCTATTAAAAATATGTTCATAAAGTTAATAAAAATACTTCAGCCTTGTAAGCGGAACAGCCAATTTTTACCAGCCACTTTATCCAAGAAAAATATCAGTTCACTGAGTCTCATTCTCCTTTGACCTACAAAAGAGAAAGAGTCCGGCTAGTATATTTTACTGATTTCAGCAGACTAATTCCTAATTTACCATTAATAAATCAGAAGAGAACACAGGCCAAAAAGAAAAAAAACACCCACATTGTGCAGAAAAGAAAGAGCTTTGCACCAAACACAGCAAACTATAGGGGTAGAAGTCAATGAACAGATCAACTGGTCACATAACAAATATCACATCATTAATAGTATGGCAGTTATTAACCAACTAAGCAGTGCCAATGCATTATATCACTGGCCTCCTATGAGGCTCAATTAGGACTTCCTTATATAAGTTGTTGCCCTGTCCTGCCCTGAAAGTTGTGGACTGCTTTATTTCCATTCTATAATACAATATAATAAAAGCCTTAGTCTGTCTGTCCGTAATGCTACAGACCAACTGTGTATGCACTGCTGAGAGGGCGCGCGTTGATTGGTTGCGAGGCCCCAGAGTGTTACAAACACAGAAGGTGAGGAAGCCATGGCACTGCACCACGCCCTCCCCCACCCAGCCCAACAACAGCCGGCAGGGAGGGGGAGGCAGTGGGGAAGACGGGAGGAAGGGAGTGACGGGAGCAGGAAGGGGGGGTTCCAGTAGCAGCACCCACCCCCTGCTGCCGCCATGCCCCCCCACCCCTGCTGCTGCCCAGCCCCACACCACCGCCGG